CCTTTCTCCCTCTCCCTCTCCCCCTCCCTCCCTCCTCCCCCCCTCTCTCTCTCTCTCTCTCTCCCCCCCTCTCTCTCTCTCTCTCTCTCTCTCTCGGGCTAGGGTGGCACAGAGGAAGGTGCACAAAGGACAGTTTTCTTGATCCGTTGAACTTCAGTTGCCTCATCTGTTTTTCAGGGTTCTTGTGAGCATCAGCTATTGGTGTAATGCTACTGTAGAGTGAATAATCAGCTACAGAGAGGGGGTGGCACATTACTGTAATATATAAGGTGATTACTACAAGGTCACTGATCTATTTTAAACAAACCAGACTTATCTAAGCGGGTCTTGCTCTGAATCCAGCCAGTGTTGGTTAACTAAGCTCCTCGATACCATCATCTAATGCCGAAGCTCATGTCCCTTCAGACCTCCGTTTTAGGGTTCCTTCAGAGCTTGGGGTCAGTTTTAGTATTAAACTTTCTAGTTGCAATGAACAGAAACACAGGCTACTTAATTAAAAGGAAGTGCCTTTTTTTTTTTTAACTTTATCCATCAATTTTTCCATGAGGTAGACAGAGAGCACCCCCAGAGGGTCCTAACGCAGCAGTCCACTCACACCCAGGCAGCCCTGGACTGTGGGCACACGGGCTCAGCACACTCAGGGAGGTCTCTGATACAAAGCCAGAACTCTCCACAGCGTTCCGTAGGCCAGCCTCCCAGAGCATTGTGTTTTACTGCTACGCCACAGTCGGATCCCAGTTTACAGGGGCTTTGCTGACAGGTTACGGGCAAGTTTCGTGTTCCCCATGCGTAGGAAGTGTAGCCAAGGAATCTAGAAGTCACCATGCGGTGCCTCTTTCTCTCTCTTTCTAGGACTTTGTGGTCTCTGGCTTCTGGCCTTAGTTCTTCTCTGTATTCTGGATTTCTCCAGCAGAATAGCTTCCTCCGGGAGGCTTTGGTTTTTGCTTCTCCAAACTGTTGGCTTGTGAGTGGCTTTGGCTTGCCAGGGGACTGCTCTGAATCCCACCGAGCTTCCTGCTCCAGTGCTCATTTCTCCCTGCCCCTTAGGCTGTGTGTTTGAGTTCAAGAGAAAGAACTGGGTTGGTCCAGCCAAAGGTGGTTGGTTCACCTCAGTCCCGTCAGCTGGGAAAGGGCTGGGGAGATGTCGGTCAGGATAGGTAGGCTCCTGGGCTTCGTGGGAGAGTGCAGAATTGCTGAGAACCGTGGGTTATTGGTATCTCTTGGATAGTCTTGGTGGTTGGAAATTCCCTGGCTTTAACAATGAATTTTTGGAACAACCAACAATCATTAGTGCTAACTTTAATATTGGGTCGTCAGAAAAGTCATGATGTGTTTCTATGCAAAAATGTGTCATTGGGACCAGCGTGCAGTGTGGTGGTTAAGGCGCTGGACACTTCCACATGGCTGATCACGGTTCGAGTCCTGGACCTGGTGGCTTGCTTTCTCACTTCCTCTCTCTCTCTCTCTCTGATCAAATTAAAATGAATGAATGAAATGAAATAAATAATTCTAAAAAAATGCGTCATGACTTTTGTGATGACCTAATAAGGAGACAACCTAGGAAGTGTCATATGGCATCAAAATAAACTTGTAACTATATGGTAATGAGCTTTTGGTTTGTCTGTCTCCAAAGGCAGTATTCAGAAAGATTTTCTCCTTTTGCTTTTTTGCTGTAGACACGTGCACTCACGGGGTGGAGGTGGGGGGATGGAAGAGGAGAGAAAGAGACCAAGTGAGAAATTATCTCCCAGGAGGGGCAGCCATACAGCAACCCCTTCTCCTCTGGGCATTTTAGGGCACACATGCACATGCACCCAGCATGCTCCTCAGGCTGCTGGGTTCAGGACTGGAACCACACACTTAGCCATGTGGGATCCACCTGCCTTAAACACCATACCAAGAGGTGGCCCCAGAAAAGAGTTTAAAAAATATGCTTTGTTTCTTAACAGCACCTCAAAATAAGGGTGTAGTATCTTTCGGTGAGGACTTTTTTTTTTTTCCTTAGGTTTTTGCTATAGCGTGCGTGTGCTAGCCAGACAGAGAGAGAGAGATAGACAGAAAGCGAGAAATCACCCCTCAGGGGTATGGCCACACCACAACCCCTTCCCCTCCGTTCTCTCGGGATCTTGGGCATGCATGCACGCACAGGTGCCCGGCGTGAATTTTAAGCCACCGGGTCCAGGACGCAAACCACGGTCGACTACATGGGAGTCCAGCGACATAGCCATTACACTAACTGCTGGTCCCTCGGTGAGAACTTTGAAATGGGCATCCTCATTTGAGTATTTCAAAGTTCCATTTTAGAATCGTGGGCTTTCAGACTTAGAAGGTGCCAAGGACACGCTTTAGTTTAACACTCACATCTCACAGTACAAGAAAGCCGACTCGGAACATGTGCACAGTTCAGAGCTGGGATTAGGGCCTCGGTCCTTTGACTCTAAATCTAGTCGTTTTGCCCCAGCCTGGTGCCCTTCCTATTGTACCTTCACTGCCTACTTACTGGAGAAAGAAACCAAACTAAACAGCAAATGGCCTGAAAAGCCACACTGTTCCATTCCATTTCTATGAAGTTGAAAAGCAGGCAAAGCTCATCTGTAGCGATAGAATTCAGAAGGAAGTTGCCATTAAGGATCAGACGTGGGGAATGACTGGAAGGAGGTGTGAGGGGACTTTTCCTTGGGTGATGCAGTGTTCAGTGTCTTGTGATTACAGGGAGGTGTGCATGTGTCTATATCATATCTATTTATATATACACGAGTATACCACGTGCATGTCTGTGCACTTTATTGTATGTAAATTATATCTCAGTTTTTAAAAAAATCATCTCCTAACTGTATAGTCATACCTTCTAATTACAGCAGGCTTTGTCGTAAGGATAGGGATGCCTGCCTTCGGTATTCAGAAATTTGTGCACCATCCCTGGAACGGCACCATCCTGCTGTCACCAGAGCAGAGCATTTCAACCAGAAGTTACTCTGATGGGGCCAGTTTCTTTTCAGACGGGCACATAAAAATTACAAGCAAAACATTCTGCCTGGGGCTGCAGGTGTGGAAGCTGCACACTGGGCTTTGGGGACCACAGCCGAGTCCTCCTTGATCCCCTTAGGCTTGATTTTGTTGCACTGAACAGAGACTGAGGCTAGCTCAGGGTGAGGGGAAGGGCACAGGTCACAGTGGGCTCCAGGTTCTGCCCTCTCCCCTGTATCACTTACTGCCTGGGGACTTGGGCTGTCCGCCGAACTCTGAGCTCTAGCTTTGTCATCCTCGTGTGGAGTTAATAACCCTTGCTGCCTACTTCACAGGACAGCTGGAAGACTCAACACCGTAAGTGAAAGCACTTTGAGAACCATTATTTTAACATTGTTGTGTTCTAGAAATGCTGGTATTTTTGACAGTTGACTTCTGAAGCAGCCCACTCTGATCAGGAAATGGTGGTGAAAGCTTCCCTCTTTCTGAGGCCTGTGGGTTTGCAGGGGATAGGACTTTTACTCCTTTTCACGCAAGAGGTTTGCAGCAGCAGGCTGTGAGAATGCCCTTTGAGCTGGGGCTGAAAGGTTGACAGCGTACATGACTGTCAGGCTCATGACCGCTATGTGCACCTGCCCTGAGAGGCAGGCGGTCCCCTCTGGTGGGCATGAACTGCTGGTGAGTGGCTAGACCTGGAGGAGCAGAAAGGTCTTTTTCATTAAGAGAGAGGCCTCTCCTGAACCCGCAGGCAAGAAGTGTAAATATACATTGAAATAACCCATCAGCCGAGTCACTTCCCTTCATCAGACCTTGGAGAGAGAGCGCTTTAGCTACTGCTTGGAATACCACTAAGCTATCAGGGTTGCCTAGGATACCAGTCACATGGGCCCATCTTCCAGACTTGCTCAAAATGATTTATTTTCCTTTATTCTGGAGAGGAGTGGGGGAGGAGGTCAGGGGTACTTTCCAAGCCTGTCCCCTGCAGAGCAGCCTTTGTGTGAGGGTGTCCTCTCGTCCCTACACTGGAGCCCTCTGTAGCCCTTGCCCTTGGCCGGCCGGCCGTTGGGACTAAAATAGCATTTCCTGTCCCTATTCTCTCCCATTTTCTGAACTCGGCGTCATCCCACACAGAGGAGGCTCCACACTGTGTCCTTTGAGGGGAAAGGAGTGGCAGCAGCGAGTCGGGGGGTGACAAGAGGGTACGGCTGGGGCCCGCCCGGGCCCGGGTCTTC